GTGTACATGGTTCCCTGTGCTCTGCAGTAGGACCTTGTTGTTTATCCATCCTGTATATACTAGTTTGCACCTGCTAGTCCCAAACTGCATTTTTAACCCGCTCCGCAGGTGGCTCTTAGGGACTTTAAAGGTAGACAGCGATGTGAGTGCAGGATGGGCTGCCACAGGCTTCTTGCCCTGCCTGCGTCTGGGAGTGGGAAGGGTAGTCCACGTGCTGGCCTTCTGGGCATCTGAATGTCGCTTCCCCGAAGTCCTCGAACGAAACCAAGCCTGCTCTGTGAAGGGCTTAATCTTTGTTGCGGTCTTTCTAACATTTGCTATATGGACGTTCGCCGTTTGGTTCCTTTCAGTGTCCTAGCCAGCAGTAGGGTCTCTTGGACTTCCTGTCGCCTTTTTGTCTTTTCTTTACTTTTTTTCTTCTTTGGTGAAAGGAGGGGCAGCAGGATAAAAATTAGCAGAAGGCGGCAAAGAAAGGGGAGCTGACCTTGAAAAAGGATCGGCATTTGGTGACTGTCTACCTTTTAATTTGGGGCTTTCTTCTGTAACCTCCCCGAGAGCCCGCTTGCCCTTTCCCTTTTATCTACCTGGGCAGTGAGGGATGGTGGGCTGATACACACGCCACGTCCAGAGCCTGGAAGTACTTGTGAGTTTGGGATCCGCAGGGTGGTGGTAGTCTGCGAGTCATCACGAGCTTGGCCCAGCCCGAGGGTGCCTCCTAATCAACGTAACGTCAGGTCAGCGGTCGGGTTCGGGACTGGGCCAGTTCACCCCATTCTGGAATGCCTTTCAAGTGCGCTTTACCGTGGAAAGAGGCCCAAGCTTCCTTGACTGACGCCTCTCCTGTTCCTTCATATGAAAGTTGTTGCCTTTTCATGGACAGAAAATTACAGCTTGGTGGAGCTACATTTTCCTAGATATTTCGGTGTCAGAGCCTTTAAACAAATGTATGCTTTGGGCATCTCCCCTGCCTACTCAGGAGACGATGTCTTAATTACTTTGACCGAAGCCAGATCATGTTGTGTGGTGTAAACATCTGGTTTATCATTCATCCAGCTGAACTGGTTTATATTTTGTCAGAAGAAAAGGCTTGGGATTAAAGGCATTTAAGTAATTAAGCACATGTCAAGACAACTGGGTGATGGGTAAATATAGTCTCTGTTCAGTGCACTGTCTGGGGGGCTCTGGTTTAGATTTACGTCCGGCTGGAATACAGGGATGAAAGCAGAACGCCGGGCAGACTGGGCCCTGTTCTGGGGGGAATCAAAACCAAATGAGTTTTCGGGAGTTGAGCATCATCTCTCTAAGTACCTGTCCTGGTGTTTGGCCTGGAGGGGCAGAGCTGCAGTCCCTATCACTCGGGGGCACTTGAGATTCTCACCTTGGGAGGCGGACCAGAAACTGTGCTTTGGGTCAGCCTTTGTGTCCAGGAAACCAGAGATGTCTTGGAAGCTAAATGCGAGGCCTTAGGTTTTATATTCTGAGGGTGTTTTCAAGTACCAGTCCCAGGGCCTGAGCCCACCCTGCTCTGGTCCTTGACCCTGACCCCGGATTTGCAGAGGCCCAGTGTTGCTGGGCTTGGCAGAATCAGCAGAGCTGTGGCCAGTGCTGGGCAGAGAGAAAATGTGAGCCTTTTCCCTGGGGAATTGTGGTTCTAAGCAGCAGGTATGAAGTACCCGGTGACCTGAAGGGACTTTGGGGATCAGTAAAGAAGTCCTCGGTGGGCCATGCTTTGTTTGGGCCGAGGCCCTGCTTCTCTTTGGGGCGAGAGGGGAAGGAAAATGTTCTCAGTGCTTTCTCCTTCTGGCTGGCTCTCCTTCTGGGAGTAGGAGGACAAAAGATTGGGTCTCAGATCTCTCTCCCTGGGTCTAGAGCAGAGAGGAAGGACTTTGGAAGTCATCCTGAAGAAGAAAGCTTTGCCGTTATGGCCAGATGGAGGATGCATGATGGAACCAATTAGCCCTTTTTGCTGAAAAGAAAGGAAAAATTCAGAATTTCAATTTTCAAAGCAGAGACTCTTTATTTTTTTTTAAGTTTGATTATTTTCTTCTTTCAAACTGATTTCCATGCTTGTTTGGGGGTAGAATCTTGGTGTCTGAAGTCTGTGGCTGAGAGGCCAAAGCAGTTCCCATTCTTGGATGAAGTTGTGGATAAACAGTTACTTTTCCACTTGCCTCTCCCCCTCCCCATTCCTCTTCCTTTCGTGTACCATCCGCTCCCTCTGCCCAGCAGCCACTGACGGAATGGCCCATAAGATACCACCTGAAGAGGGGGAGGTACACAGCCATGGGGCAGAGACACAGTCAACGACAGCATCTTGAAGCTCTGGTTGTCTGGTTTAGGACAGTTCAGGTTTGATGACCTGAGTCATCTTGGTTCCTCTCTTACGAAGCAGACTAGTCAACCAGAGTTTAAGTTTCCTTCATCAGTGTGGGTTGCCAAAGAAAATTGAAGTAGCGGGTATGCAGATGCCCGTGATACACGGGAAGAGATGCTGCGATCACTTTCGCCATAGGGCTGCTTACTCTTTTGGGTAACAACCGTCATCCCTTTTGTGTTCGCAGCAGTGAGGCGGGAGCCCTGGGAGACTCCAGTGAGGGGGCGTGCCCCCTGCCTCAGGTACCTTGCAGGCCTTCGGAGGGCAGCAAACAAGGCGTGGACAGCATTCTAGAAGTGAAACTGACATTCAGTGCCAAGGAACTTTATTCCAGATGAGACGTAGGGTGCACAGCTTTAGACCTCCGACGGTTTGAGATCTTTTTTGAAGCTCTGGTGGCAGGACCCAGGAGTTGAGGTTGTCGGCCCAGTGCTGTCAGACGCTGGGCTACGCTAAGCAAAGCTGAGAATGAGCAGGGGAGCTCCACACCTGCTGAACTTTTCCACGCAGTGTGGCGACTGTCTTCAGGGTATATGCTGCCGCCTTGGCAACCAGGGGGTGGGTATGGGTGCAGGGATTGGGTTGGGTAGTGCGTGGGGTGCGGTCTAGCTGGAGCCCTGCCCGCCTGTGGTGCTTCAGCCTGTATCCATGTCGACAGCTTTGAACCACCCCCCACCCCCTCCCGGCTTGGGATCCCTCCCCTTGATGATCGTAGGGTGGCTACACGTTGCTGTGGTTACGGCTCTTGAACTGATTAATGATGCTCAGAGTGAAATTGTAGTCCTCGGAGGAAGACGAATCTGCAGCTCCTTCAGCCCCGGGGCACCTCTCCCCAACCCTTAACTCCCTATACCCACCCTCCATCCCCCATCTCCGCCCCCTCCCCCCAGTTATTTCTGATGTTTTCTGTGCATGCCGAGGAGGAGATGTAAAATCAGGAAAGGACTGGCCCTTGGGTGACGCCGCAGCCCTGAAATCTCAGCTCTCAACTCACTGGAAGAGTGGCCGCTTCTGCCAGGCGCCCCTGCAGCCTCCTGAGGGCCTCTGCTCCCACGTGGGCCCCTGGCCAGCCATTCTGGCATCCCAGGGGAATAGGGGCATGGTTTGAGGAAGAGGAGGCTGATGGAGGGAGGAGGATTGTTTGAGAACCTCTGAGGCTCCGGGCAAGCGATGGGGCACTGACTGGGTGCGGGAGGTGGAAAACCATGAATTTTCATGAGTCGCTGTCGTCTAGCTTTGTCACGCAACCTGGCCCGTCTCTCCAGGCTCATTTGCAAATGCAGATTACTTAGCATTTGGACGTCATGGGTGTTTCCCTCCAAAATCGAATTTCTCCTCTTCACACTACTGTCTACAGCGTCTCCGGAAAGAATGGTTCAGGGCAGAAAGCGTGCTTGAGACGAGGGAAATCATTGTGTATTAGAGACCCCGCCCCCTGCCCCCCCCCCGCCCCCCACTGAATGTGCATCCCCGCAGGCAGGGTCCTCGAGCTGATGAGATATGATCCCTTCCATCTGGGAGCCAGCAACCCAGGGCAGACTGTCCGGAGTGACAGAACATACAGGGCATGTTATAGTCTCTGAATCCAAAGGTGAATGAAATGAGGGAATAGTAGTGGCTCTGTGCTGGACAGGAGCTTCTCTGTGGTGAGTATATTGGAGTTACAGGGATGGAGCCACTCCTTCACGTAACATCTGTTTAGTAGGGTCTGCTGTGTGTGTGCCCAGTGCTGTGGAATACTGTCGGGATTAAAAAAAAAATGGATCCCCTGTCACGCGGTGTTCCAACTTTGTGGTCTCAGGACCTCTTTACACTTTTAAAAATTATCGAGAGCGCCTACAGGGCTTTCATCTAGGTGCGTTATATTGATCAATATTTGTTATATTTGAAGTTAAAATTGAGAAAAGTTTAAAGTACAAGGATACGCAAGCCCACATTCCATTAGCTGTCCGGGGATGATGTCATCACAGGTCACAAAACTCCGCGGTAGACTCGTGAGAGAATAGGAGTATAAAAGCAAACAGTGTCTTAGTACTACTATAAAAATAGTCTGACCTTATGAACCCCCTGAAAGGGTCATGGGGACACCCGGGGTTCCCCAGGTCACACTGCCCTAGGGATCTAATGGTCCAGGCAGGTCAGTCGTGGACCATAATGCACGCTGCCTTGTGAAGGAACAAGGAGGGGCCGGAAGTGAGTTCAGATGAAGTGCGGTGGGATGCTCTGACAGACACGTTTATTGATTATAATTACAGTAATCCCTGTGGTCATTCCTATGCCGGTCACTGAACACAGATACTCTCAGCACATGGCTGTGGCCATGGAGGCAGTGGTGGTGAGGGTTCCGGGACCAGAGGGATCTGAGTGTACGAGGACAGGACGGACGTGACGTTTGAGAGAGCGTACCTGCTATTTAATCATAACTTTGCATTTGGGAAATGAAAAAATACTGTTCTTATGCTGAGAAGTCAAGCCCGAAAGGATCTTCTTGACTGGGAGGATCTGGAGGGGTAGGGGTTCTCAGCTGAGAGGTGGGGCTGGGGGAATTAGTATTTATCAGAAGACCAAGCTCAAGTTGAGAAACCTCTGCCCTACAGTTACCGTTTTCATCTTTCTTCTTCTGCAGGTATTAATTCTCTGATAGCAAATAATATCTACGAGGCTGCCTACCCCCTGCACGACGTGAGTACCGCCTCCATCAGTCAGCAGGGTGAACACTGCAGGCGACATGGCGGTGGATATACGGGCGGGGAGGCAGGAGGGAATGACGACACTGAACCACCTGGGCTGGCTCCGGACCACTTGTGAATGAAAATAATCCCCAGTTGATTTTTGCCAGTTGTCTCAAACTGTTTCCGTTATTTCCCCGATGGAAGAACGAACTGGTTTTTGTCTGGGCTTCCCTGCACTCCCTGCCTTGTTTTTGAGGAAAGTGTGAGAAGACAGATAACGGCGTGTGGAGGGTTAAAGGGAGATGGGGAGGGTGGGTGGATAGCGGGGACCGCAAGTCCCAGACCTGGATAATAACACAGGCTGGACCGTCAGGCCCTCAAATGACTGAAAGTGATATTTTATATGTGATAGCTTTGTGTGGATATGAAATTCCTCATCCTATGCGAGGATGTATTAAGTGTCAGATCTTTTTTCTATCTTGACATATTTTAAGGATGTCTCTCAAAATCCCTTATACTGTTGTTTGGTTAAGAAAACGGAGAGACTGTACTTAAAGCTTTTCTTGGCTGCGAGGAATGTTATAAGCATCCTATAACATAATGCAGTGATATTCTTCAAGGTGGTTCGTGAGGAACTGAACTGGCCCGTGAACTCGGTGCCCCCAGGCTGCCCTGTCCACCCCATCGGTCGCTTTAGCATCTACCCTGCAGCGGTACCAAATGAGACCCCTGGGGTGGGGACCCCTGAGTGCCCGCAGGAATTTCCCAGGTGACCTTTTCTCCTCGCCAGCATCCTTGCTGTGGGCACACGCGAATTGAGGTTCCGCCGGGTATGGCCAGGGCGCAGGGGTGTTTTCCTGATGTGCTAGTCCGTTTCCAGGTCGGGTTCTGCTGTTGCATTTGCTGTGAGGAGGTGCAGGGGGGTCTCTGAGGCCTGTAAGGGGAGCCGCCCTGGGTGAGAAACTGCCCACAGGAAACACAGCAGGTGATGGCGACCAAAGAAGCGGACCGGTGTCTCCTTACATGTCATGCTCTTCACCTTCCTTAAATGGGAATGAAAGAAAGGGATAACGTTAGAAAATTTAAAAGAAAACCCTGTCTCTGTTTTTGATCATTCCATTGGCTTTCTCCTCCTACAGGGTGAATATGATAGTCCAGGAGATGATGTGAATGACAGAAAGGTAAGCCAGCCTGATGCTGCGCTCGAGGACCACGCGGCAGTGGGGGGCTGCGTAGACGTGTCCTGCGTGTTCTGTTTACTGCTTATCTATTCCCAGCTGTTCTTCCACAGCTCGCTGTCCCCAGGCGTTTGGAAATGTGAGGGCATTTCTGGTCGTTGACGTGACTGTGTATGGGGGTGCTGTTGACATTTAGTGCCCGGTGGACCGGTGCTGCCAACCATCCTGAAATACATCCCACAGTCACACACAGAGGCAGTGTCCCTGCCCCTGAGGACAAGAGAGCTTTGGCTGAGAAACACTGAGCATCCAGATCCCTTCATTGATAGATGGGGAAACCGAGGCACAGAACGATTGTGCACCTTGCCCATGATGACACTGCTACCATAAACAGAGAAGGGGCTAGTGCCCCTCTGACCCTCAAATCTAGTGTTCCTGCTAAAAGTATACCAGTATCCATGCCGTTATGGCTTGTTTGGGGAGGGTCGCCCTTAGGTTATTCTTATCCTCTCTGTCGAGGCAGACAGGTAGGGTACAGCCATTCCCAAATGATAGATGAGAAACCTGCATATTCCGGGCGGCTAGAAATAGGTTATATTTAAGGGAGGGAAAAGGGTCCCTTTGGAGGATCCCCCCTATGCCAGTCACAGCTCCTGCCTGGACAGCTCTTGTCCCCAGCCCTCCATCTAGATCCTGTTTCTTCTGTTTCCTGGTACTCTAGGAGCATGGGTTCCACCCTTCCCACCACGGCACGATGCTCTGAGCATCACCCAGCCTCTTTAGTGGGGGCTGCCCTGCCCGTCTGGCCATCGCCCTCCTGCCATCTTCCCACCCAGGTCCCCCAGCCTTCAGCGACTCTGGTGAACAGACGAGGGTGGGCGAGGGTGGGCGGGATGAGGAATAGGAGCCCGTGTACCCCCTCCCCACACTCTGCTGTCTGGAAAATCATTCATCCCCCAAGTTGCTTTTGAGCAACCTTCTTTTTATCCAGCCTATTAGTCCCTGTTATGAAGTGTTAAGTATTAAAAACATATAAAGGCCTTTTCCAGAAATACTGCTGTGATTGCTTACATATGTCCCCTGCTCGGCCTGCCCAGGGAATCTGCTGTAGTTTTTCCATGTTTTAACCTCATCTGTTTTCTATCTGATGCTAATAGTCTCAGTGGTGTTTAATTTCCTGAAAAGTCCCGGATCAGATTTAAAGGAAAAGGAAGAAGCCTTTCTCCCCACATCTCACCTCCCTGGCCCCAGCCATTTTCTGTCCGCCTACTTTTTCTTGTCACATTACTCCCCTTTAAAGAGCGATCACCACCTACTGCCCACCTAAGTGACCCCCTCCTGGGTGGGTGGTAACCCTCAGCCCCTCAAGGTAGAACACTTTACAGGAACATTCCAGAGATCAGGAGCACACAGTACTCCTGGGAAAACTCAGCCAGCCCCCGGTTACCTGCACAGAGGCAGAGAGAAGCAAATTGTAGACCATCCAAAATATATGTACCTTTGCCTGGAATGATATTATATTATCGTTAACAATAAAACCTTTTAACAAAACGTTTCCCTCCCAGGAATTGTTTCGCTTAGGCAGTGCTGCCTCCTCCCAGTGCACACCCCAAAGGGTGGGATGGGTAGAATCTGGCAGGCAGAGAGAGACCGGCCAGGACAGAGCTCATCTTGGTGGTGGCTCGGTGAAGGTGGACAAGTGTCTCTGGAAGACAAGCAGCCCATTCCTTGTGGCTTTTCCTTGGGTTTGCCAGCCAGTCCTGGCCTCCTTGTTTTCCTCTGCCGGGGTCATGGTTAGGGAAATAACGTTTGCTGTGGTGGGAAATAAGAGAAACCAGGAGTGAGAGTGAAAGCTTTTTTCTGTCCATTTGGCTTGGGAAGTGGATACCCAGCACGGCAAGGAGACCGGTTCTGATGTCCGTGAAAAGATTGTCCCGTCAGGACTAAAACCCTGGTGTCCAAATTCCAGCCAGTGCCACCACCAGGTGGACACGGTCTTTCATGTATGGCAAGGGGACCTCTCACTGCCGTGCTGGCTTCCTTCCTAGCACTTCAGAGGCATATGGGTGGGACCTAAAAGGTATCTTGAAAGAACCAGCTGAAATCTCTGTATAAGTGCAGCACATTTATTCGTATGTGTTACATTGTAAGAGTCTATGTTCTTCCAGAGGCTGCGGGAAGGGTTTTGGTTGGGTGCAAGGGAGAACCCTTGAACTTGGTGTTGGAGGAGGTGGAGAAGGGTTGAGAACTGATGGGAGATCGCCCCCTGGGGGCCTTTAGGGGTGATCCGCCCATCCTGCCCGTACCTGGGGTTCGCCTCCTTCTTCCCTGCGATTTGTGGTTGTTCCGGGGATGTGCCTTCCCCGCAGCTCGCCTAGTGCGGCCTGCAGTCTCGATGACTCAGCCCCCTCCCAGAGGGTAATTCACGAGAGGCTCCCTCCCTCTGGAGAGCAGGGGTTTCTTGCCTTTCTAGAGAGCTGGGCTGCGAGGGTGTGGATGGGCCCCTCCCACTGCCAGCACCCACCTCATTCCACGTCCGCCAGACTTACCTGCTTTTCTCAGGCATCCCAGGGGAGGGACTGTCACCATCTTCCAGGGGCTGACTGAGTCCCACCAGCTCCCCGTGGCTTCCCTGCCCACTTACAGGGAACCCGAAGCACAACCTGGAAGATACTCATCTTAAACTTTAGAAACTTTAGCAGTTTCTAAACCCTTGGTCCTGAATTTTCCAGCTTTTGCAGATGATTATCTCCTCTAGTGGGCAGTTAAAAAGTCAGTCTTGTCTTTCTGACAAAGGGAAAGGTACTTTTCTTCTTGGTTTCACTTGAGGACTAGTTTTCCCATCCTGCACAACTCCCATTTTACTAATGGGGAAGTGACCTGCCAAAAAACCCAACAGGTCATTGCAGGATCCAGAGGTAGAATTCTATCCTCTCCCATCCTGGTCCACCCTGTCCCATCAATGCCTCTGAGCCGGCTACAGCTGGCGTCTTTCTGTCTGTCCCAGGTCCGGCTGCTCTCTGAGGAGCCTGTGGCCTCAGGGAGGGCCCCGAGTCTCGGGCATCTTGCCGTTCTCTGGCGTTGCAGATGGTTTTAACAGTTGGGTTCTTTATGGTCCCATGAAATACTTAAGCCAACTGACCGATGTGACCCTAGGAAGCCAACCTGGCCTCCTGTATGCTCTGATCCATCAGAGGGTGTGGCCCCCTTGTTGCTTCCTGCCCTGAAGGTTTGGGGTCAGACCCACATGCTTGGAATTACATTCGAGGCCTCCGAAATCAGGCTCTGTGAGAAGGAGCTGCAGAGCCTCCTGGCTCTGTTCGCAGGAGCTGCAGAGCCTCCTGGCTCTGTTCGCAGGCTTGGCCGGTAGGTGAGGAGGACATGGCATAACTCTGAGGGAGAGAGTGTATTTGCTAGGAGCTCCTTAGAAAGTTCTAGACTCTGCAGGTTTAAAGGGACTGTTGCAGGTTACCCTGGTTGTCCTCTTGCACTTGACGCACACAGGCTCATCCCTGTTGACTGCCGGTCTGTCCCAGGACCCTGTAACCCGGGGCTTAGCCCGATCCACCTGGTCTCGAACTGTGTGATTAAACATTTGTAGAGACAGGGAAGGGTCTACAGCACCCTCCCTCCCATGCAGAGCTGTGCGAGCTGGCCCGGCAGAGCCACATGGGCGGTGGGCAGGCATCGTCGCATCACCTTCCAGGTTTGACGCCCTGGAGCTCCAGCTCTTCCAGGGGTTGCCTGGCGATCTCCTCTGCTGTGTCCATCTGGCCCGTCTGGAACCACTCTTGTCAAGGTCAACCATGGGTCACTGGGTCCAAGGTCACCTCTTGGTTCTCCTCCAGCCTGACCCGTCAGCCATATTTGACCCAGATGCTCCCCTTCTTCCCTTGGAATCCCATGGTCCCTTGGCCTCCAGGACACCAACCACTTCTAGTTCGGTGCCGTGTCCCATTGTTCCTCTGGCGCTTCTGCTGCTCTTCGTCATCCCCTTGACCTCTGAACGGTGGAGCACCCAGGGCCCCGGCGTCACGCCTCTTCTCTACCTCTCTCTCTTTGACAGTTGCATCCGTAACTTGATGACTTTATAAATCATGTCTTCTCTGACTCTGGACTCTCCTTTGAACTCCAGACTTTTTCTTTTATTTTGCAGTACGCGGGCCTCTCACTGTTGTGGCCTCTCCCGTTGCGGAGCACAGGCTCCGGACGCGCAGGCTCAGCGGCCATGGCTCACGGGCCCAGCCGCTCCGTGGCATGTGGGATCTTCCCGGACTGGGGCACGAGCCCGCGTCCCCTGCATCGGCAGGCTGACTCCCAACCACTGCGCCACCAGGGAAGCCCCCCCCCGCCCCCCCCACCAGTCCTTTCTAACTGGGGTTATGTCCCAAGATTCTCCCCTTGCTCAGCGCCAGCCTTCTGGCTTCCCTCTTCATCCTAGGACGTGCCCTTTCCTCTAGGCCTTGGCACAGAAGGAGTGTTCTTCTAGCTGCAACGTAACCACCTACTTCCTTCAGGTCTCAGCCCAAATGTCACCTCCTCAGAGAGGCCCTCCCTTGCCATCCTTTTCTTTTTTTTTTTTTAATACCTATCAATAATTACTTTATTTTTTAAATTATTTTATTTTTTATCTTTAAAAAAATTTTATTGGAGTCTAGTTGATTTACAATGTTGTGTTAGTTTCAGGTGTACAGCAAAGTGAATCTGTTATACATATACACATATCCACTCTTTTTTAGCTTCTTTTCCCGTATAGGTCATTACGGAGTATTGAGTAGAGTTCCCTGTGCTATACCGTAGGTCTTTATTAGTCATCTATTTTATATATAGTAGTGTGTGTATGTCAATCCCAACCTCCCAGTTTATCCCTCCCCACTTTCCCCCTTGGTAACCGTAAGTTTGCTTTCTACATCGGTGACTCTATTTCTGTTTTGTCAATGAGTTCATCTGTACCATTTTTTTAGATTCCACATATGAGTGATATCATATGATATTTGTCTTTCTCTGTCTGACCTACTTCACTCAGTGTGACGATCTCTAGGTCCATCCATGTCCCTGCAAAATGGCATTATTTTGTCCTTTTTATGGCTGAGTAATGCTCCATTGTATATATGCACCACGTCTTCTTTATCCATTGCTCCGTCGATGGACATTTAGGTTGTCTCCGTGTCTTGGCTATTGTAAATGGTGTTCCCTTGTCATCCTGTCTAAAATAGCACCCTACCCCGCTCTTCATATTCTCCTCCCTACCTTGATCTGTTTTTCTCCGTGACATTTATAAGTTAATATTTGTCTCTGCACACAAGGGGTAATAAGCCCCATGATGGCAGTGACTTGGTCTGGTTTACTGCTTTAGCCAGTGCCTGGACAGGGCCTGGCACAAGCTGGATATTCAGTCAGTACTTATCAAACGAGTGAATAAATGAACGCCAGGGCGCATCTGGCTGGACTCAGCGAGGCGAGGGAGTGAAGAGCGAGGGGTTTTGTGTGGTAGGCGCAGCACACCCAGAGTGTGAGGAAGATCACCTTTACTATTGGGGGAGGACAAGTCAGCTTCTGCAGCCTCCTGCCTTTGGAGTCTCCCTGTGGATACCTCATGGGAATTCTCCTGGAAGCTGGGCTTTGGGGATTCGATTTTGACTTGCCAGGATGTCTTTGGTGGGGAGGGGTGTGTGTCAAATGTTGACTCGCTAAAGCTGAATAACGAAAGGTGAATAGTTGTCTGCTGTACCTCTAATCTGGTTCTCTGCTTTTTTTTTTTTGTTTAGCTGCTGTATCAAGAATGGGCACGCTATGGGGTGTTTTATAAGTTTCAGCCTATTGACCTCATCAGGTAAGATGTGGGAGGGGACTCTTGGGAGGACCCAGAAGGTCTCTGCCGACTGTCTTGCCTCCTGGAAGTGTGTTGGCCGAGCAGAGGTCTTGGCTGCTCTAGGCTGTGACGCCCCTGCTCTGTGTCCTGCAGGTGGGGAGCCAGCTCCTGGGTAGGGGAGGGCAGTGGCAGCTGTGGGGCAGCAGGTAATGTGGACGGATGTTCCATGACTTGCCTCTTGGGGTCTTCAGCACTGTGGTCTCTCCCTGCCTGCTCTTGTGGGGAGAGGAGTGAGTAGAGTTCTCTCTTTTATTATCGTCCCTCAAATTTGCCTAGAGAAGAACGTGGGTGAAGCAGATCCTTGGGTCATTCCCAAGTAGCCACAGTATTGACCAAGAGAAGGGAAGACCCGGCACATTGTATAAGGGCTAAGCCAGCTGCTCTGCGTGGAAATGCAGGCTTTTTATGGCTTCTCCAAAAAATTGGAAGGGAGAAGAGAACTGGGTCCTAAACCTCTCCCTTCAGTGCTGCTCCTAAAATGATGCCCCGTTGCCTTGGGAATTTCCCCAGTTTCTACAGAACATGGGTGAAAAGCTTTTTGAAAGAACTTTCTAGAAGGCAGTAGGTCTGAGTAGCCTCAAGTGGGTTGAGGGCTCTAGGAACTCCACGGGCTGTTGAAGCCCCACCTCTTTCCCAGCTGGCATGTTGGGAGGACCCCTGTGCAGTGGGGGACCACCGGGCTGAGTGGGGCCTGGAGACTGGGGTCTTGCCCAGGCTTGGCCACTAGGGGCGATTGTTGCTCTGGTCAAGTCGCGTCCCCGCTTTGGTCTTCGGCATCCTGGTTTTCCGAAACTGGGAGCCTGAGCTAGGGCTCTACGGGGGAAATTGATAGAGCACGCTTGTTTGGAAACTGTGGGGACCCTCGGCCCTGTGCCTGACACAGTGGACTCGCTGCCACTCAGTCACCTGTGGCTCACTTTAATGAGCTGATTCATCAGCCAGCAAACTCAGAGAGTGTTCCGGGCTGCTCGCCCTGGGCTGGGACCGCGAGAGGGGTGGCCGCCAGAAGGATCGAGTCCAGAGGGAGGGATTCCAGCTTCTTCTTGGAAGAAGGCAGCAGGCTGGGAGTCACAGTTTGGGCAGGCTCACCTCCCACGCAGAGATGGGATGGCCCTCCCAGGGAACTGGGAGCTCAGTTGGACAGCAGGTGTTTGTTCCAGCTGAAGACCGTTAGCCGAGGGGCTGGGGTTGGGGAGCAGGGCCACAAATGCCGGTGACCGAGGCCCCCTCACCCTGCACCTCCCGTCCCCTGGCGGCCTTTTGTGAGGTGCGGCCACCTAGACTGTTCTCTGGGCCACACCAGGGCTGCTTCCCCCGTGCCTCGTGGGCTTTGATCATCCTCTCTGCCTCTCTGGTGGCCACCCACGCTGTCGCCTGTTTTCTCCAACTATTCACTCCTTTTGAAAAAATACGATACCAGAAAATAAAAATTCTCCCTCCCGGAGAGCCCCACGTTTTCCTCCGGAGACTTCGGGTGACCGGCCGCCAGCTAAGTGGGCAACGGCTCCAGCGTGCCCTCCGTTTCAGCCACCAGAGCAGCCTCACCTGCGGGGGAAGAGGTGCCTTTGGAGCAGATCCTGGCTTTGGGGTCTGGCGGTTCCCGAGGACGCAGAGCCCAAAGCTGTCCAGACGGGTGCAGTGTGCTGTGGGGCTGGGGGCTGTCCACTGCCGCTTCCTCACCTGCTGCACAGTGCCAGTGGCCTGGATGTGGGGCTCGGACGCGCCTGGAGCCTCGGACATCTTTCAGACACTGGCTGGAGGGGAGGGGGTGGGACACAGGTAGTATGGGGGCTGTAGTGGGGGACTGTGGCCTACCCAGAGGGGTGAGGAACTTACTCTGCTGCAGAGAGACGAGGGGACTGTAGTGGGGAGAGAGGGAAGGGACAGAGGCGTTGGGGGCATAGGTGGGTAGCAGAGGCAGGGAAGCCAAGAGCAGGCAGCTGGAGAGGAAATTGGGGTGGCGGGTATGGGTCTCCCCACACTCAGCCGGCTCCCCCTAAGCTCGTGTGTCCACGTCACCTCCTTCCTCTCCGCCATCTGCCAGTCCCCGGTCTGACCCCAACTCCTGTGGGTGTGTCTTCAGCGCCACTTCCCTCTGCTGCCACTTCTTCTCCATCCTTCCTGCCTTCACCTGTCGGGACCTAGCGGCCCACGGGGCCCAGCCTGAGGCCACCCTGACCCTGTGGTTCCATCGCGGCTCATGCCTGTGAACTGCGCCCTCTTGGTGCTCACGTAGGAACTGCACCCATGTGGTCAGTGCTGAAGCATCCGCAGAGGCAGGGGGGTCCAAGTTGAAGGTACGCCCTGCAAAGGCCCAGCCGAGCTGTTTCCCGCCCGTCGCCTTGGGCCCCCAGATCCTCATTGGCAGCCCCGAGCGCTGCTTCTCTCCCGGTGCCCACGGTTTGGAACATTCGAAAGCACGGAGCAGCTGAGAGCCCAGCGGGGTGGGAGATCCGTTGGCATGTAAAGCTACCCTTCCCATTCCGCAACCCTTCAAGCCTAAACTTGAGATTTAGGGTTCGAGGCTCCTTTCCCAGGTGTGTAAAGTGGACAGAGGGGGAGCAAGATGCCCCTTCCCGGGGCTTCCCTGGTGGCGCAGTGGTTGAGAGTCCGCCTGCCGATGCCGGGGACGCGGGTTCGTGCCCCGGTCCGGGAAGATCCCACATGCCGCGGAGCGGCTGGGCCCGTGAGCCATGGCCGCTGAGCCTGCGTGTCCGGAGCCTGTGCTCCGCAACGAGAGAGGCCAGAACAGTGAGAGGCCTGCGTACCGCAAAAAAAAAAAAAAAAAAAAAAAAAGATGCCCCTTCCCTGCACCCCGCGCCCCTCCCCCCGCAGCTGCATGGGCATCCAGGCCCAGCAGGCTGCACTGTGAGATTGCTGATGGCGCTCCCAGGCCAGCAGAGCTCTCCACCCTGAGTCATACCCTTGCTCTAGAAACCTCGGGGCCTGCAGGCCTGAGTGGAGTGTGTGTGTGTGTGTGTGTATGTGAGTTGCCTGGGAAGCTCCCCAGGGAGGTATCCAGTAGCGACCCCTCTCACAGAAGAATCTCCTGGGAACTCCGAGCCCGAAGCACTTGTGCCCTGGAAGAAACAAGGTGTGTGTTGGAGCCAGTGGGGGAGATGATGTTGTAGCTGGAGGGAAACGGCCCTGCTAGTCCCTAGGGGCCACCTGAGTGTCCTTGCAGGCGGAGGAGTAGATTTCTGCCTGCACGGCCCTGGGTTAACTCCCCGACATCCCAGGAGGGAAATGGCCTTTATTTTCTGGGGAACCCGGGAAGCTGGGCCTTTAGGCTTGACTAATACGGGGTGATCCCGTATTAGTCAGAGCCCTGCCCTGTCTTTTCACTGAAATGAACATCTGCTCACGGGCATATTTTCTTAGCTGGGAGGTTTTGATATGGATGAGATGAAACAGCAGGCTCTGGACATCTGAGTTAGGTTTAGCTGCTCACCGCGCTTGGCTGAGGCTGAGATGCACAATTGTATTCTCAAGCATCTGCGCTGCCTGTGACCGCATGTGGAGGAGACGTGCCCAGCAGTCCACCGGGCTCGGGGGCTGTGCAGCTGTGGACTTTGGGGAATGGGCCAAGGGCATCGTACGTGGGCAGCATCCACCGTGCCAAGTCGGGATTACAGTTTAGAGAGGGGTAAATGGCTCTTCCTCGTTCCCTCCTCTGTCAGGGATGCCATTTCCCCAGGGAGGCTTCCTGAGGTCAGGCCCTGGGCGTGAAACCCATCCCTGTGGCAGGTCTGGAGTCCTCTCAGAGATGTCCTGCTTCCTCAGTGACCTAACAGTGGCATCTGTGCCATTTCAAGAGCCTTTGGGCATCATCTGTAGACAGCAAGAGTGGCACTGTGCCTCCACCTGGCTACACGTCTCTACCATCCTAGACGTCCAGCCGCCTCCAGCCCCACCAGTGGAGAGCCCATCCAGGACCTCGGCATCAAGGAATTGGCTTTTCCTCCTCCTGATAAAAGGCAGAGGTGCTTGTTCTTGCCAGAATTCCCCAGAAGGGCCACTAGAAGGTTGCGTGATTTGGTGCATACCTCTGTGTCTCTGAGCCCCACTTCTAACCTCCTGAAACACGACGCATCCACATCCCTCCAGGAGGGAGATGGAGGAAGCCACGTTCTTTCTTAGGAGGCTTCTCAGCAGGCCAGGCTCAGGAAGGACTGGCTGCAGCTGGTTTGGGGGAGGGAATGGAGAGGAAAAAATGTTCATCAACCTGTGATGAATTATTTCCTGAGCCCTGCTGCCTCCTCCTTGATCCTTCCCTGGGATTTATAAAGGCAGTTCAGCTCAATGCAGTAAACATTTACTGATGCTCACAGTGAGCAAATCTCTGGAGGCACAGCGAGATGTAGGGTGGAGTTTGCGTCCTTACGGATCTAGCAGTTACGTAGGGAGACAGACCCGTGGGAGGCAGGATGAATTGAGGGCTTTTCAGGACTGTCATATATAAGTACTAACATGATAGGTTGGGACAACAGATGGAGAGTGGTTGCTACTAGCAGAATAGGGAAGACTTCCTAGAAGAGGTGGTGCTGGAATTGGAAACATTGCTTTCTGAAAGGCTGAGGTTAAAGGTCCTGAATGTGTCTTTGTCACCAGCCTGGGCTGCCCCGAATATGGACTTGTTGAGCCTGGTGTCGATGGCCAGAAATCACAGTGCCCCAAAGCCAGGTCCCTCCTGACTGTCAGTTGGAAGAGGTCAAGTCAAGAACTTGACTTGCAGATCTCGCCCCACCTGTATGGACTCTGTGCCAACCTGGCCCGTGTCCCTGGCTCTGACCTGTAAGTTAGCAGAGCATCCAGGCTTGGAAGGAGATGAGGCTGGACCCAAGAGAGGAAGCCAAGGAGTGGTGACGTGTGGGGCTAGCACCTTGGTATCTGCAGGTCTCATCCTTTGAAGTATTGGATTTAGCAGGGAAACGTTATGCAGGCTGGAAAGAAGTCATGTC